CACATTCCTGTGCAAACCTTTATCTATCGTTGTTTTGCAGTGATATTGCAGAGGCCCCAATCAGGACTGGGACCAAACCTTTGCTATGCCCTGTATAAACACATCAGAAGGTGCAGTCTGTGTCCCAAACAGCTAAAAAACAAGGTGATTCCCTTTGTTCTATCAGACTGTCAAGATGGAAAATTCCTATAAATAATCATTGTAGTCAAGATCCCTTTCAAAGAAAGTTGAGTGGTTTATTTGTGTGTAATTAAACAGGATGACTGAAGGCAGCTTTTCTATTACACTTCAGTTTTCTCTGAACTTCAAAATTTCCATTTTGTAAGGGTATTTCCAATATCCACAACACACTAGATTCTGTTACTAAATCTCTTATACTACCGGTGAAAAAAAACCCCAGAATGTATTCATATATCATCTACAGGATGATGTAACATCATCCCTTGCAGATCATTAGACCTCAAAGGGAAATGTTTGTCTCACAGTGAGAGTGCATGAAGGAATCCCTCTCTACTTACTGAGCTATTAAAACAATGATAGGTTTCATTACAGAAGACAAGTAGATAATAAACAATGATATGAGAGTTTCCACCAACAGCTACTTCAAATACCTAAACCACTGTACACCCATTCAGCCTGACGTCCCAGTGTGCCTATATGCCACAGTAATGGTTGTTCCATAAGTCATTGGGACACTGGACGCATCTACACGTGCTGATTTAAGGCACATTAACCATTTTTAAGGCACACTAAGGACACAGGTCTACACATGCACACCCTTAACATGCCTTAAAAATGGCAATTTCAAGCTATTTGTGCCTAAATTTGATACCTGCAAAAGCAGGTATCAAATTTAGGCATGAATAGCTAAAACACCTTAATGCATGTGTAGATGCACTAAGATTCATTAATGCTGTGTACATTGACTGACTTGGGACTAAGTTTAGTCTCAGTCCTAAGTCAGTCTGCACAACTACATTAATGTGCCTTAGCATGTGCACATGTAGACACGCCTAAATTGCCTTAATGCACATTAGCCAAATGCGCATTAAGTTTAAGTGCTCATAAAAGCATGTATAGACACACCCAATCACTATCATCATCCCTCCCAGACATACCTGCATCCCTTGCTGCAAAATATAATGTCTGCTACTGACACAGATTACCTCCTGGAACAAGACTTCCTACCAACACCAAGATCCATCAAGACCACCTTCCCGCACAAAGCAGAACCCCTCCTACATAGCAGAGGGTACAGCCGCTAATCACAGAGCTTGTTACTGATACAACTCAAAGCCCTCATGGATTTCTTTACCAGTCTTAGATAAGCAGAAACACTTTTTGTTCTTCTTTGTAGATACCATCTCATTTGACATTTCCTTCCTGCTATAACTACCACAGGCCTCAGTTCACTTCGTGATGAAATGACCATTCAGTGGAAAAGAGGAGGAAGAGGTGGAGAGGTGCTATGTCAGTGACAGAGGTGAATCCAGCTGCATCATCCCACAGAGGTAACTGGACATGAAAGATGAGTCACGGCAGAGTCTAGGGGAACCACCCAACAGCATACAGCTGCTTATTTTGGGGTGGGAATAGTTGAACCAGTGCGGGATTCACTGACAGGCGACATCTGCCAGCAAGTGCTAGCTGCTGTGCATGGGTGACCCAGAGCACTGTTCCAGGTAGGTGCCCATAAATCTAACTAACACCCATTTCCTATACCTCACACAAATCTCTCTTCCACTAGGCTACTGGGCACACTCCTGTCACAAGCTGCGACTGCTGCCTCGCTGACCTGCTCTAACCTGAGGGCCATCTCAGCTGGAAAGCACTCTTGGCAGAGGGAACCAAATTCTGTTCCCATAGACAGAAGGAAACTCAACTTTGTGTGCAGACAAAAAGGGAAATTACACACCTGGAAGACCCAGCTATTTACCAAAGAAAACACTAGGACAACTGGGACAGCACCTCTCAGAGTCAGGATAGGCTGGCTTGGGAGGTGGGCATCCAATAATAGAGGAGTTTCTATTGGAGGCTGCTGTTTTGTTCTCCAGGATTTTAGTTTTCGTTTAACCAAAGAATAAGTCTCCAGCCTTCGTAAGTGTGAATATCATCTTTAAAATGCTGCAGTGATGCCTGCCTGCAACTCCAGCCAGCCTACAATAATAGCTCTGAGACAAGCCCTGCACCTACTCATACTAGAAGAGCGTTAACACTGAGCTCAGTGGTGATACCTAACATATCAACTGGAGCTGATATTTCATTGCTGATCAGAGAATGTGAAAAAAAGAAGACGGGTGGCTTGATTATGATGATATTCACCGAAACGGGCAGCAACCCCACAGCATGTGCGCCAGAGCGTGGCAAGTGATGACATTTTGCTTGGCATGCCAGCCCTCAGGGCAGATGGCAGGGGATCTGCAAGGAGCCCAATCCTTGTTGTGACAGTGCAGCCCTGGCTCCTTCCCTGCTATCCATCCCAAGGCACGCATGCACATGCCACTGGCAACAAGCTAGGCTGCAATGTTTTTGGCACTCTGCCCAAAAATGTTACTGACAGTTGGTCTACGGTGCCATAGATCTTTTTTTGCAGTTCAGGTGGGAAAAGCCCTTCCCACCCCTCCCCCATTTGACCCCTGGAACTCCCATGTGCCCTTTTTACTGTTAAAAACCAGGCTGCGTGTGTATAATGTGGTGCACCCAAGAATCCCAACCACACAGCCCAGTGCTCTGAGCCCCACCAACTTCTGCACTTGCAGGAGGTAGATAAGGATTAAGGCCATACCAGCACCTAGTGAGTTTGAGTGGCTTGCTCAGGGTCACCCACCAGTCAGCAACAGAGCTGTCCCTAAAATTCAGTTGTCATTTCTTGCAGGCTTGTGCTTTTAGCCACATGCAAATCATTCAGTGCTGTCAACAGCTGCATTAGCTTCCCTAGCACCCTGTCACCTTTGTGACACTACTATGAATCTACTGACTCAGAGCACATGAGTGGGAGTCAGGACTCAGCTGCATTATTTCTGGCTCTGCTACTGACACGTAGGTGTGATGGTGGGCAACCTCCTTTCTCTCTTTGTGCCTCAGTTTCCCTTCTGTAAAAAAGGAATTTCCCCTTTCTGCAAAGCTGTTTGAACACTGAAGATGGAAAGTGCATGAGGTGCCACTTGTCTCCCCCACTCCTGAGCACCCTAGCTGTTCACAGGCATTTGTAAAGGCATTTTTAAACCTTTTTTTTTTAATCCTTTCCACTCCCTACTGCTGCTCTTTATGGCAAAGCTGATGAGGCGCTGGCTGTGGGCAGCAATACACCCGGTCTGTCAAAGGGAGGAGTAGCACTGCAAGGGTGATGTCATCATTGTTTATGTAGGCCACTGGCCTTCCTTGTTCAATGCATAAGCAGCCCCTGCTGGATGATGAGCCACAAAACAGGATTTACTGCAAGGCTGAAAGCATTCCCTTGATTTTCAGCAATTATGGGTTAGCATATGTGGAAATAGCAAAGATAGACATAACTCAGAATAGAGAAGTCAGGAAGAACAAGGACTTTCCAAATCCTTTACAGAAGGCACTTTTGAAAGCACTGAGAGAATGTAATGTCAGTGGAAGAGCAAGAAGTGCTTTGGACTTTCCATGCAACCATGACATGTTGACTATAGCTGATGCTCCTGGCTGTCATTGGCCAGAGCCATGAGATAGATTTGCAGTGACATTCAAATCCAGGAAAAGAAGAGCGCTCTGCATTTCATTACAACTTGAAAAAGAAACCAAAAAAACCCTCTGAAATTAACTCCCCCTTAAAACATTCCTGTTTATGGGCCCTCAACCTCCTCAAATGGAGTGTTGGATTTCAAAATGCATCTTAGACAAAGGCTGTATTTTCCCCACTGACTCATGTGAACATGCACATGGTTCCTCAGTTGAAAATAAAACTAGCAACAGTTCAAAAACTCCTGGGCCACAAAACTATTTGTATTATCTATTTCTATTGCAGTATTGTCTAGAAGCTCCAACTGAGCTTGAGGCTGCCATTGGGGGAGGTGCTATGCAAGTACACAGGACAGACACTTCCTGCCCCAACCAGCTTACAGTCTAGGCAGACATGCAAAGGATTGGGGGGGTGGGGAGAGGAAAGAACAGGGAGGAGAAGCAACTTGCCTGAAGTCACATAGCAAGTCAGTGGTTGAGCTAGGAATAAAACCCAGGTCTCCCTATGCAGACTAGCGCCCCTTCCACTAAATCAGAAATGAATTAAATTCAAATCTGAATATTTCTTCCACTGACTTTCACCAGGACTATTTATTATTCTCTTGCGTAATCTCTTGCCCTGTGAGTAGCAGGCCTTAAAATCAAGAATACAATGGAGAGCTGTGAAGAAAATGTCAGGATTTAGTGATTAGGTGGGCCCATGAACAAGGAACATGCTCTGCCGTGCCCTTAGCTCGTGTATGACACAAATGGAACTCTGCTGAAGTCCTAATGATTGCAAACGTGTGAAGCAAACAGTCACTTACCATCCACGTGCACTTTCAGATCTATAATTCTAAAGATTTTATATAGTCTTTTATGATAGGCTCCTTTGTTCCTATTTCATTGTTTAAAACTCCTACGATCTGAAGGCAAGAATAGGTAAATACCCATAAAAATCAAATTGAAATAGACTGGCAAAATTAATTCATCATTAGGCAAAGGAATCCAGAGGTCTAAATCAAAAGCAAGAGCAGTGGGAAAAGAGCTACCCATGGATTACATGTCAGGGAAAGGAAGGCTATACAGACATCCATGCTCCTGATTCACAGGTTCCATTTAGCAGCAGCTTATTAATATGCTCTGGCTGCAGCCACTTAGGTTTCCTATGCAGAGTACTGGAAAACTAATTAAAAAGAGAAATTAAATGAATCTGTTCTGTGCTCTCTGTACTTTATGCCCCCAGTATATAGTATTGGTCAGTGTGTTTGGCTCCCTCAGGAGTGGGGATTAATTCCCAAAGTACAAATACTCACCTCTGCAAGGTAGAGGATGCAGAATTTCAGATCTTCCAAAGCACCTGAAAGGGAGAAAACAAAGCCAAAATCAGGCTTTGGCTGGGAGTCACCAAACAAAGACCTGTGGCACTGATAAAGCAATAAGCAGTAAGATTGTATTTAAAAAAAACTAAGGATGCAATTCTGCTGTAGCTGGGAGCAATACCTGCTGTTTGGCTTCCAGGAGGACATCCCTGTGGTTAATGCAGCAGCCAAACTGGGGTTAGACTCATTTATGTGCTGCATAGCAATGGGTTTTCCACCAGGCACATTTCCTAGAGAAAGGCCTTGCTTCTGTTATGTCTGTAGTTTGGAGGCTGGTCAGTGAAGTGCATTAGTAAGGACCAGCCTGATGCAGAAGTAAAGCAAGAGACTATTTAAGGCCCTACTTGCACTTAACCATGGTGCCAGGGGCTGGGCCATCTCCCTTAAAAGCATGGAACCAGGGAAATCCGGAATTCCTCACTGCTTTCCCAAATGCTGGGTTACACATCATGAATGATAAAGGTGGAGTTAGTGCACATTTCTCCTCCATGCCGCCACATATCCAGCCTCTGTGCTGATCATTGAGCACCTCTCCCCCAAGAGCTGTGGGGAAAAGAATCTCCTGAAACTCATGAAGGACAGTGGAAACTGTCAGACTGATCAGACCTAACATCCATCCAAGTCCATAATTCTGTCCCTGCATAGGATAATAGCTGGTTAGCAGTTGCTTCAGAGAGAAGTATGAGAACCTGCAATAGGCACTGATGCTATGAATTGCCCTAGGAATAGTTCCTCCTTTGGTCTGCCACCCAAAGGGGCAGGGCTTTTCTACATATTAGAGCAGAATAAGCTTGGGTGTGACTTTAGCATACAAGCTACCCCAGACTTCCCACATAGACTTCCTTAACAGGACATCTGCAGTGAAGTTCTGCAGAATACAGAA